GAGAGAAAACCATTGTAAAGAAGAAATTTATATTTAATTTGATTTTTTATCATATCGGTGTCCCTCCGGGCCAGGTACAGTGTTTCCCTTTGTTGTTTTCCATGAGGGTCTTCCCAACCGTTCTTAGTCTGACCCTTCGCCTAGGACCAATCTGCCTTAGGAGACCCTACCAGGTGCAAAAAGCCCTGGACACCATTGCCCCTAGGTTCATTAGAGCACACAAACTCCTCCACCACGGTAAGGTGACGGTTCTTGGAGGAGGAAGAAATTTATATTTGATTGATTTTTAATTTATTTTATTGTTATTATTTTTATTTTTTATTTTTATTGGGAGGAAACTGGAGCACCTGGAGTAAATCCACACAGACACAGAAGTTGTTGTTTTTTTTTTTTAATTTTTGTAAGGGGTTGTTGGGATGTGGGAGGAAACTGGAGCACCCGGAGTAAACCCACGCAAACACAACTTCATGCACGTCCTCAGCAAATAATGCCAAGTACGAGAAGACAAGAGGTCCTTTATCCATGCTGGAACATCTGCTGTTGATGATAAGTAAAGTATGCAATTAACAACCTGAAAAAATTTACTGAAAATAATTCTCTTTTCTTTTTTTTTTCTTACTTCTAATTAAATACTCAATAGTGCAGTGGTTCCTAATGTGAGTTTGTTTTCAGTTTACTTACCCAGAGAGTAAGCCGCAAGCTTCCAAACTCTAATCTGGACAGCTTGTTTATAAATGTGAATCATGGATTAAGTCCAATTTAAATGAGTCACTGCGAATAATCTCTGTGCATTTTGTTTTGGGGCAACTGTGGCAAGGAAAAACTCCCTCTCGGAGGAAGAAACCTTGGAAGGAACCAGGCTTTCCGGGGTAAAAACCCATCCTCCAGTGGGTCAGGGGTTACCTGCTCCTGCACCACTGGACGTCCTTCTCCTTGGTCCTTGGCCCTTGCCTTTATACCTACCTTTCCTTACCTTACCATACTTACCTGAGGCCTCTTGCTTCTATGGGGAGTTTCTTTGCACTACCTGCCCCTTAATCCTGTGAATAAAACAATGTAGTTAGTTAATGTAAAAACTATAAAGGAAGTTGTTTTCAGGAAGCTGTACTTGACCATATCTTGAACAAAATAAAAGGTAAAAAGATAAAAGAATAGGAGTCCTCTTGCCTACTCAATAATGATTAGACATTGATGATGAGATCATCGATGTCTTTTTCTACATCACAATTTTCTTTCACCATGGCGTACCTCAGTGTGATGGGGCCATGTACTTACCTGTCTTTTGTAGACAAGGATGTAGGCATTTCGCCGTCCCTTCTCACATACGTCGGCACCGCTGGTTTCCATGACCATTTTGTCGTCATAAGTGAACCAACGATCCGACGGGTCAGTTACCGGCACATCCAAATCCACTTCCTCTGAGATGAAGTGTCCTAATAGATGAAAGAGTAATAATGTTAAAAGACTGGGCTGTGTCTGTAACCACATACGATCATATAATTCATAATGTTCACATAAGTAATGCATTAGAACATAATTGTAAGCTTTTTTTTTAACTGTGACATTTTTTTGTGTGTAAATTTTAATATGATCAGAAGGAAACTGATTATCTTACCTGATCCTGCTCGTGTGCCCAGATGATTAATTGCGCTGACAAAGCTGTAGCATTGACCATCCTGAGAGAGTAAAAAGAGTAAATAGAGTTAGTGCCCACAGGTCACACATTATGTCTATTAGAGATAATCTTTTTTTTTCTTTTTTTATCAAATGAGATCATTTAGTGTCTACTTACCTCTTCAGAACAAATAACGAGGTCCCTGAAGATATCTACCGGATCAGTCACTTTCTGCAGCCGGTAGTCTGGTGTGTAGCTGACACGGTTCAGGTGCAGGATCAGCACTCTGAAATAAGAAAAATGACAGATGTTTAGCATTAGGTCATGTGTAAGAGTTTTTGTTGTAGATGTGTATTACTTTGCAGTATAAATCAGGTGTCTGCTTATTTGTGTTGGCGATGTTACTTACCTTGGTAGAGTTTTAAACAACAAGCGCTGGCCCGACAAGATTCCTCCACATTCACACCGATACTCCAGCTCGATTTCCTGTAAAACACCAAAAGACCAACATGGTTTTAATTTGTTCTGGATTAACAACTAAATACACACTGACATAAACAGTTGTGAGGGGATTCAAATATGGTGGTATTTTAACATCAAATCACATTGTACTGCATCTTTTTGTTGTGCTGTGAAATTCATAGAGAGAGGTGTGGTTACCTGAAGATAATTCTGGAGCATGTCTTCTACTGTTCCTCCTCCAGGTGTCAAGTCGAGAGACAAGTTCGTGTATTCCTCCTGTTTCTTCGATTCTGCTCCACATCTGCATATAAAAAGAACAATCCAGTTTAAGTAAAGCTGCACAAGTTTGTGACAAACCCACCTCTAAGGGCTTAGCATTTCAGTTCTATGTGATGATCTAATGAATATTTGCAAATCAGCATTTTCGTGTTTTAAGAGTGTAGTGATCCTTGTATGATATCAAGCATACACATGCAAATACATTTCAGTGAAGTCATACCTTTTGCATGTCCTTGTGTTCTCCATCTTGAACGACAAGTGTTCTTTGACGGGACAGCTGTAGGTTGTACCCTTGCTGGCAGCCGCCTTTTGCAGCTCTGGACTCAAACTCATGATTTGGTTCAGAAGTGTATCAAGGAACTCGTGCGCATCCTGCAGAAACAAACACAGATGACATTGTTTAAGTGTGTGAAGACATAATAAGCAAAGACTGCTTTGGTTATCTGCCACAAGGGGTGCCAAAATTGACACAAACCAAAAGTTCCTCACAGGAACTTAAAAAAAACATTCAGTACACTGAGAGGAAAATATCAGGAGAGGGAGGTGAAAAAACCTTGGATTAGACTAACTTACCTGCTGCCCGTCGTCTGCAAATACTGGTGCGTCAAAAGATACGGCCCTCTTCAATTTAGAAAGCAGGAAAGATTTTAACGTCATGTCCTCGGAGGAGTGCTCCTCTTTAAGTCTGGATAAATATTTGAAAGAGTTAAAGATTTGTTTTGTTTGTTTGTTTTTTCAAATTTAAATTCAAACATTTTAGGCATTTGATTTTCAGCCTGAGGGGAAAAAAATACTGTTGTCTCAGTTGGGTGTCATACCTCATAACTGCGGCATCTGGGTGGACTCTCCACACATTTGCCTGTTTGATGATATCATCCACAAAGTTCTCCAGTGTCAAAAGGCTCTGCAGGCTTGCGTTCATGTAGCAGGTTTGTCCAAGGTTTGGGAATCTGATGAAAACAAGTTGAACAAGTTAATATGATTTATTCAGCAATCCTTTCAGAAATTTATTGTGTGCTTTTACTCTTTGGTTTATGTACTGCATATCTATCAGATACCAAAGACACTTGGGCTCCTCTTTTGTGAGAGGGTTGTTGCTGCTATTGGAACCACCAGCCTCTTTCTCTTCTATTTTGGGGACAGTTTTGACGGGCTCCTCTTGCCCCTTTGGTACTTTTTGCCCGCCTTGTAGTACTTGACCTGCCTGATGGGTGGAGAGGTGTCTCCTCTTTGGGTTCCTCTCCATCTCAGGTGAAAAGTCCCTCTTTCTTTTCTGTTTGTGTGCAAAAACATTTGAGTCAAACCATGCAAAGAAACATTAATTTACTAATATATATATTAAAATATATTATAAAGTCTACAATTCAGTTCTTTCAAGCTAAAGTAAGTAAATCAGTTTCAAAATATCACAATTTTCTGCCAACTTACAACTGGAACCTTGACGGGGCGAACTCTTAATAGGGTCCTTTCAGCCTCGCTCATCTCCTCTTCGTGATGGGTGGAGAGGTGTCTTCTCTTCGGGCTCCTCTCCATCTCCTGTGAAAAGTCCCTCTTTCTTTTCTGTTTGTGTGCAAAAACATTTGAGTCAAGTCATGCAAAGAAACATTAATTTACCAAAAATAAATATAGTCTACAATTCAATTCTTTCAAGCTAAAGTAAGTAAATCAGTTTTAAAATATCACAAATTTCAGTCAACTTACCATAGGAGTTCTGTTAAGACTGAAGCTCATTCATGAGGTGACATAGGGTATGACATCATGAGGTGCATTCTAAAACATGAGGGGCTCTATTTTGGTGCCTCGCCGGAGACGTGCCGCAAGCGCAGCGTCAATCAGATCCGCCATATTTTGGTGAGCTGCGCAGCCCGGCGTAAGTATCCCCCCTCCCTAACTCAGCTCCTCCCAGCAGCATAAGTCATAGACGGGGAGGAGAGAGGGCATATAGTGGGTTTAACACAGCCGAGACCTGTTTTCACCAATCACATAAGCTCCTCTCCTTGCCTTTAAATCCGCCACCGGCGAGGCGTATTACTATTTTCATGAAGTAGTCAAAGAGATCAAGAGATGTCTGAAGACAGTTATGCCACATGATGGCGACAGAGGGCAGCTGCTCAACAAGTGTCCTCCACACTCTCTCATCTGAGCACAGATGGATTTGGTGTGCGTAATGTTGGACCCACTGGTAAGACAAACACCCTTTTCCACAAATAAAGACACTCACATAAAGTTGCATATATTCAAACCTCACGTGACAAAGGTGGGTTGTGCGCACAGATCACAACATAAACTCCAAAAATGGCATTAAAATCGGAACCATCTGTGCGTAAATGACGCATCGCGCTCCGTGGCCTGGCTCTTTCTTTCATAGATGTTGGCATATAAAATAAATTTGGCTCACAAAACTGAATATTATAATATCTGTATGTCGGCTTAAAGTAGATAACGCATCTGAGCACTGAAACAAATCATCTGTTCAGCCGCAGCAGCAGCAGGAAGACGGACAGAGGACACGGAGACGTGTCCAGGTCGAGCTGTGCGAGAAATAAGAGGAAGAAAGAAAAGGAGGGAGACACATTACATATCTTGTTAACTTCATCATGTGTGTTTATTTACTAGATATTTAATTTAATTTGATGCAGTTTCAGCTGTATTGATTCGGTCAGGTTGTGTGCCCAAACGCGTGCCAAACGCGCTCATCAGATCAGATATAGATCAGAATATATCGATATAGATCTAAATGTATGTGCTGACTCAGATTAATAGTTGTTGATGATTATTTATTGCACTGAAATCTGCCTGACACTGTGGAAACCTGCCGGTGAGGCATCGGTGACGTATGTCGATACGCCGCCGGTCTACCAAAATACTACTGGACCAGCTGCGTTCCGCCTTGCGCTGAAAGCTGACCAGGTATGAATCGGCGAGCTTTCAGCGCACGTTACACGCCAGTGGCGAGCACGAAAATGTCACTGCGCCAGCTGATTCTGTCAACACCTCCCCCTGCCACGCCACCACGCCCAGCTTGGCGGATCTCGGCTCGCCTCCGTGCGACTCAGTCCACGAAAATACCAAACTCGCCTTACGCCGGGCTCCGCCAGACGAAAATACAACTGCGCGGGGCTCGCCGCCCTCCACCGCCTCACCGGCACGAACGAAAATACAGCCCGAGGTGTTTGAGGTGATATTCAGGAGAGCAGCAAGGTTTACTTCTGTATCCCGAGAGTGAGGACAATTTCGAAGAGCGATTCACAACTTTTAACTGTGACAGTTTTGAGAGTTATTAGGGGGGTTCATGTTTTCTGTGATTTACACCTGATACAGCCTATGGGCGTACAAGGATTGCGTTGCTCACCCAGGAGATACGCTGTTTGAGCCGAGCATCATCACAGCGACTCTCCCGCCGAATGCGCACAATGCTACTGCACAAGTGGGAGAGTGCGTACAACGCTACCGCGCAATGTTGGTTTCAGGAAATAGAGAGAAAACGCAGAATTACCGAGAGCTTTTTGGCTTCAAAGCTGTATACCGGCAGACGGCAGAACCAAGTTGTCCATAGTATATACAGTCCATGATTGTACATTAAACAGCAGACAGGTGCTCCAATATATACAGTATGTATCATCAGAAATAGATACAAGTAAATAGATTACAGTAAACTAAGGTTATTACTAGAAAAATTGCATTTCCTTGCAGAAAATGCGTGGAAATGCAGAGTGCTGAAAGCTGAAAAAGCAATGCAAAACTGCTAAAAAAAACGGAGGAAGGTTTAAATGTAAAATTGGTTAAAGAGCTGGAGAAAGAAAAGTAGAAGTTGGATGAAAGTGAAAATTGCCGAAGTACAAATAGTATGAATGTGCTTCAACAGTTAAAAATGCATTCATGCTGAATAAGGCTAGAAAAACTGTCTGAAATTGCAAAAAAAAATGGATAGGGAAGAAAATTACCTTAAAACACAGAAAAGTAAGAATCAGCATTTTTGCAGATAGCCTTGACCTTGAAGAGGAGATAGAACAAGAGCTATTCGCATTCACGAGACAGGTGATCTACGGAGACCAGAAGAGTAGCACCATGGCTGATGCCTGTGCCTCCAAGTGGAAGACCATGAAGAGAAAATCATTTATCTGTCTCCCTCCAGATGCAGACAGCTTACGGCAACACTGTCTCCATGCCAACTACTTGGCGTATCTAGTGCGCCACCCCACACTGAAGAACCACCCCTCGCCACTCAGACATGGTTGGGAATTGGTGGGTGGTCGCTGCAGTCCTGTCCGCCACACACGGCCTGTTCTCCCCACACACCTACCTGCACCAGGGCCAGTTGAAGAGGAGGGAGAAGTTGAGAGTGAGGAGGAGGAGGAGGATGTTGCTCAGAGGAGGGTGGAGTCATCTGAATCTGATGAGTCAGAAAGCAGTGATACAGAATTCTCTGATTCAGACTAATATGTGTTTTGTGTGGTTTCGGATATGATGTTTCCGCTGTTGGTGATGATATACGCACGGTTATTATAAAGGAAGTTACGAACTCAACTACCTCTCCACATATGCAGCATGCCCTCTGATGTGCAATAGAAAAAAAATATCAAAAAAAGACAAAAAAAAAACAAAACAAAACAAAACCATCACCTTACCGTAGTGGAGGGGTTTGTGCGTCCCTATGACCCTGAGAGCTTTGTTGTCTGGAGCTGTGTGCTCCTGGTAGGGTCTCCCATGACAAACTGGTCTCTGGCGAGGGGCCTGACGAAGAATGGTTCAGGGCAGGCCAGCAGTCCCTAAGGGGGCAGCTCCCCCAGCTATCTGGATATCTTGCAGTGGCACAACCTAGAGAACATCTTCTTGTTACTAAACCAGTCAGAAATAGCTGGACTGACTGAAAATTAATAAACTAAAGCTAAGTTTTTACTCTACTGGATGTCAGCCATCTTGAATTTCGGTGTCAAAATGAGGTCTTACAATTAAAATCCTTGCCAAAGGATGGTCACAGAATCTCACTTCGTGACCCAACTAAGTAGGCTTTGGGTTCCATGTAAGCATGTGTAAAGGTAGGGAGCTCTCAGCACAGAGCCATACCACCAAATATAACTATCAACACATTAAACTCTAACTATCAAAAGTATTCAATTCCTTTGACAAAAATGGTCCTGACTGAACTGTAATTTTGGACACTGTGTTTGTTCGACAGGTTATTTACCTTTGCATAACAGTCAAGGTGACTTTAAAGGGATATTCCAGTGTAAATTGAAGTTATAGTCAAACACACTGTAACACTGAGTTAGACACCCCCTTGAGAGATGAATGTTGCCGACTGCTTGCTTCTTTAGTTACCAACTTCAGCAATGACCACACGATAGGAATAAACTCACCCACTCTCCTCCAGCAGCCGCTTGTTTGTGGGGAAGCCCCGACAAGTTGATCACCGAGTGCAGTGGAGTTTTGTGGGTGAGTTGTGTTTGGTCTCTTTGCTGAAGAAATCAGGCAAAGCTAGAAAGATGATTGATGGCTAGTACTATGGCTGGGACCCTATATGTACTGTTGATGAAGTTAGGGGCTGTTCTGAACATTATTTGTGGCTAAAGAGTAGCTATTTGGTTGAGGTTTGCGCGTGGAGATGTAGACTGCTGTGAATTGCTATAGTGCAGTCGTTACTAAAGTTGGTATAACTAGAGAAGCAAGCGCTCTGCAACATTCATCTGTCAAGGAGGTGTCTAACTCAGTGTTTCAGTGTGTTTGACCATAACTTAAATTTACGCTGGAATATCTTTTGAAGTATATCATTATGTAACCTTATGACCACTGTCTGATCCTAACCCAGAAAAAAAAAAAAACAAGGCCCAAGCAGTTCTGGTGTTGGCTCCATGTCTGGACTAAATTACTCAGTGTAAAGGTGAATAACTTTTTCTCTATATTTGGTGTGTTGAACAGACATACACACTTTCATCTTGGTATGATAAAGTATTGACAATCCCTTCTTGCCGGATATTATCTGAGGTATATCAAGAGATCTTAGATGAGTATGTGTGTAACTTAACACAGAGAGATGCAATAACCTTTAGTTGAGTGGACTGAGCTTACAATCCTCTAAAATGCTCCGTGATGTGAAACAACTTCTTTGCCTGAGCATGTTAAAATGCTTCCTTTTTTGAGGCTACGTCTGTCTAATCAAACTGAAAAATGTCAATAAGACATGGTAATGTTACATTTCCCCTCACTGAAACCCTGCATACTTGCTTTTTCTACAAAATGACGTGCTCTGCCATTTCTGTCATCAAAGGTTCACTGACATGCAATTTTCCTGAAAGCGTGTCTGATCACTTATGAGTTCCTACTTGAACACCTTTTTCTTATTTTTTTAACATCTAAATACCATCTTATAGTCCTTAATATTAACATTTTGATATTACCAGAATCTGTACTTGTGAATTCTGCAAGAAAATAAGAAGTTCTTCAGCACAGACAAAAACGGCATAAAATAAAACTGTCAAATAGAAGTCAAATTTGCGTTTGCTCACTCTTGTATCTGCTAGGGTCCCTCATTACAGGATATGAAATCAATAAGCTTTTGAGAGTTTGAGTTTTAGTGGCCTCTGGCCCCTTAAGGCATGTTATGGAGAGCTGCACTCAGCCGAGAAACATGTCCTCACTGAAGCAAGTTATGAGATTATGACTAGGATTGATCAGAAAGATGGAAAAAGCAGACGAAACTGGGTACAGGTAAAGGAAAGTGGCTGAGGTTGGCTTTTAAGTAAGAAGAACAGATCTGTCTCATTGAAGGGACTGAGTTACCTCTAAATAAGGTAAAAACTATGTTATAGACTCAGGTTTTACTCTCAGAATAATGTAAAGCACAACATGTGTACCTTCTTCCTTCACACTTGATAAATGTCTGATGCCTTTGTGATTATAAATCTGACTTCCCCTCATTTGTTCTCTTTCATTAGGACATGAATGGAACAAGAGAAAAAGCCAACTTCTAGTTTCGTCATGGGTCAAATCACATCTGATAACCACACAGCTGGTCCAATGGCTGTCAGCAAGCTTTTCATGCATCAGATAGCTCATTATGTAAAATCTGCTATCATGATTAAATATCCCACTTTTCAGTCAACGTTGATAAGAAGGAAGAAAAGATCCCAGCCTTGAACAGATACTTGCTCAAAATCTGACTGTTAGTATGCTCTCTCTTTTGTCTTTTACATCTGATACCACTCTACAATCAGAAACATAAAAAAAAAACGTGATAAAAGAAGTGTTGCCTCTTTTGGGATATTTTTGATGAACATATCAAGCATTTGAGAAAAGCAAATCACGAAACAAAACTATGAAATGCAATAACAAAATAAGAAATAGAAAAAGAAAATTGGAAAATTCCCCTCGGAAATTTTTTAAAAAGGGCCCCAGGGGGCTTCTGATGTATACATTATTATGAGCTTCTTCAGAGATTTTGAATAATTATTTATGCAACCAAAACTGAGCCCATGTTTTATCGTGAATCAAATAGCTCTAAAAGCGATTCAGTGATGCAGTGATGTCAGAGCAGTCCCTGATTAATGAATTGGTTTCAGCTGTGGGCCTGGCCTGACTTGAAGGTTGCCACCGCAACTTGAGCTGGTTGCTCGTGGCAATAAACGCACCACAAGCTGAGGCAGTCAAAAATGAGAAAAAGAGTGTTTTTTTCGCCTCAGCACTGGTCTTATATTTGGGTTTATTCAGACAAAACAGTGGCTCCTATCAGAATAAAAGTAGACTATGGTCAGCGTAAGGATTTCCTCAACACTTTGATATGATTTTGGTGTTTCTACAGTAAATAGTTCAGACACCCTTGCAAGTTATAAACAGGAGTCCCTTCTGCCTGTCTCGGAAAATCTTTGTAGTAGTGTCAGTGAGGAGCAGTGAGAGACATTGCCACACTTAGAGGCCAAGTATTGAATTCTGTAAGTCTCTCTGCCCAGATTAACACATTGTTACAGACAGTTCAAGTGTGTCTACAACTGATGAAACTGGGGTGATTTGGGGTGCAAACTTGCACAATACACTGTTCATGAAAAGATGAACTGAAGGTCAGGTCCCCAAAAGAGGTGCCAAAATGTTTGAGTTGTTTACATCAAGAAGACATAGGAATAAGGGCCAAAAATTTGGTGTACAATGATTTTATTATGCTGCAGGGAGAGTCTAGCTTCACCCTTAGAGAGAAAGGGATCACTGCCGATCAATACAAATTAATTCTGACTGGTCACCATAGTCCTGAGATGGAACATTTCTATCCTGTTGGGAGTGGTATCGCACAGAATAACAATGGCCAGTCCACATGGCACCAGGGACCCTTTGCGTGTGAAATGATGTAAATCAAATGCTATGGCCTTTACAGTCAGGAGATCTCCACATTTAGTACCTCACCACAATCATCTCAACACAACATCAGGGAATATGACATTTACTTCTCCAATAATGATACTCAGGCAAGCTAAGCCAAAGAAGTGCAACTAATCTGTATGTGTGTTAATGTAAAGCCAAAGAGCTCTATGGTTTACTATCGCCTACAAAAAGGCAAACACTATGAAAAGACAATAAATAAATAAATAAGAAAATGTGTACCATCTTGCAGATTCATGGCTAAAAGCAAGACTATTGGAACTAGTCACATAGATGTTTCAAATATGAGCTGGCCATATAGCATTGAGGTAAAGTTGTGATCAGAGACAGCTGGTAAAATTATTCTCTTCATCAAACTCTTAAAATCAACTAAAACATCCTTTATGCCAATATTTAAGCTTGGTACAAAAATAAGACCTAGTTAACTGTGTTGTTAAGAGTAAAATTCTGCCAATATAATTTCTAGGTCAGGGGTCCTCATCTGGTCTCACATGAAGACCTGCCACCACCACTTCCTCCTCCATGACAATTAAGACCAAAACCAGAAATGTTTTGTTGTGAAATTTATCGTTTCAAGGTGGGTGTCAACCAGCTCAAAGGTGCTTTCCTGCCACCTAATGTTTGGGAATATGAAATAATAACCTTTCCCTGCAAGTGCTATTTGTCACAGGCAATGTGTCCTTTTAAGGTTTTTGCCATTTATTCTGGCACACCACTGGAAATAGCTTTTAAATTAAGAACCATTGATCTACACAGTGATTACCTGCCATATGTGTTTGTATTTACCATTGCTAGCATGATAGCTCAGCTTCATGACCAACTTTTCAGTCGAGTAAAGTGCTGGTGAGTAAGTTTACATAGGTACATAGGCTGAAAACCCTTAAACTTTAGCAATTGCTAACTTCATATTACCCTTTAGCATTTACTTTAAACTTACAGTGCTCTACTGGTGATTGCAAAGAGGAATAATGGATTTAAAATGTGATAGCATGAAATGGAGTGCCTAAATATGACCTACTTTGGAGGACTCTACCATGCATAGTAGGGCTGCTAACAAATATAATTGATTGCATACTAATAAATGCAACACAATAAAAGTTAGAAAAAAACATAAAAAAAAAAACTAAATTAGTGGATCATAAGTAATATAAACAAACTCAAACTGCAATAGAAGGCTTTTAATCAAACATCCACAAAATGTCCAATTTCACTGCCCACTCAGCCTTACTCAACACATAATTAATTCAAAAGTTATTACAACAAATAAAATCATTGAACGATGAACATGGAGCTAAGAAATGAAAAGATTTCTTCCATCTCTGCAAGCTTCTTACACACACACATAAGACTTCTGGGCAGTGAGAAGAGAAAATCAATGTAGGATCAAAATAAGTCCAAAACACATACAGAAAGCCGGAGTTAAGAATCAGTCTGAATCTGAAATTCAATCATCTGAGGAAATGGAGCTTAAAAACTTAATGGGGGGAACCAAAGTTGGTAATTATGGAGGGAAATTATATAATATGCCTCCCTCAGAATCACATGAGGCATAGGAAAGTGAGAAGCTAAAGTGATCCATCACTAAATGCAAAAGTCTGAACTGAAGAACCTGGAAATACAAAAATCTAGACTGACACTCTCACCAGTCAAGATGATATTTCATTGTAATTTTAAAGTTGTTTGCAGATTAAAATGATCACATAACATGTAAAATAACAGATTGACTTAATCGTAGTAAAAGTCCTTGAGACAGAAGACTGAAATGATAGTACATGCTTGTGTTGTGTGTGTGTATGTGACTGTGTGTGCAGAAGATTGTCAGTTAACATTGGTCCTTATTTCCATATCAGCCTTCAGCCTTCAACACATGAGGCAAAGGCAGAGGACTTAATTAAGATGTAACAGCAATAGGTTTTGTAATAACATGAGTAATGTTCTTTATTTATTAACATAATGAGGCTCGACAGGAAATGTAAACAGATATTTCATTATTCACAAGGACATGACATTAACTCGACCAATTTCGATCAAATTCTCCACCCTATAAGTAACCTTAAGCACTTACCCTTGCTGATACTAGGGTTCCTTGCATTCTGCTGTATAAAACCTTTAGCAAAACCTTAAGTTTGAGCATTTATTTTGAAGGTGAGGAAAGTAAGTCCCAAGAAAGCAGAAACACACACACACAAACTGCATTAATTCCCATTATCAATCATACAGAAAGAAAAGTCCACAAATAAACAGACATGGTTTTTACCTGTCTTGCTCCAACATCAGTCCCTTGTCCCTAAATTTTAAAATGCAGATCTAAGTAATAATAATTAGTATTAAATTTTCTTTAGTGACCTTGAAATTTGTCTTGATAATAATAAAGATCTGTTGTTTTTGGCTTAAAAAATTAAATGTTTAAATTTTGCGAACATTTTTAGGTGGCTGAGGTTTTGAATTATTTGCATTATTCATTTATTAAAGTGAAGACACTTTGACCTCCTGTTATTTTCAACAGAGGTTTATCAATGCTTAACTCTAGTAGGAATTACTTACATGAGCTATATTGCTTAACCACGAATTCAACCACAACTTTATACTTTATCTACCCGGCATTTTTCAACCTTAGGAGTTTTTTTTACAGAGATAACACTACCGTCCAATCGATAATGCCAACAAAAAATGGCTGAACTAAAAAAAAAAGGACATGCACTGTGATTACTTTTGCCTTGTTTGTTTTCTTTTTTTCCTTATCACTCCTTTAACAACCAAACACAGTATTTTTCTGTCTTAAAAGGAATTCATTAGCTTCAGACAAAGAAAGGAGATCAGGTAAGGCATTATCGAACAGCAGGCCATTGTATGAGTGCCAAACTCTGTGAGGGAGAGGTACTTGAACAGCCAAACACTTTTCTCAAACTTAAAGAGAAAGTTTAGGCCTTTTTTTTTTAAAAGAGTGGTTATAAAAGGGACCTGTCAATTGTACATGCCATCCATGCCAGAGGGTTCAGGTCTGTTTGGTTCCTTTGTTAAAAAACTGGACTGAGATTTGGGACTTAAGCTTGGAGAACAAGTACTACAGACCGGGTCAAGTCTTTGCAGGTAATGAGACTAATTTTAAGATACTCTGACTTATCTTTGTACGTGCCTTCCTTTGCTATCAGAAAGCCCATTTGTTTTTGCCCTCCTTGTGGATAAGGCACATACAGTACAGTGAAAATGTATTTACAGATTTCATTTGTTTTTGCTTTTTTGTCACACTGATGTGTTTTGGATCATCAAACATGTATGAGTATCAAAGATAACCTGAGTACATACAAAATGCAGCGTTTTAAATTATACATTTCATTAAAACTAATAATAAATAATAAAAAATTCATTTATTCAGGGAGAAAAGCTAAACCAACCCGACCCTCTATGAAAAAGTAATTGAGAGCTTGACTTGCTGGTGTGCTTCAGATCCTGCTGCATGACCCAAGTGCACTTGAGCTTAAGGTCATGAACAGATGGCCAGACACTCCTTCAGCAGCAAAACAGCCCCTGACCATCACACTATTATGGAGTCAAAAGGAGGCCAGGAAGCATTGCAAATGCAGGTGAGGTATTGTAAACAGAAAATATTAATTGATCACTGAATTAAAAAAAAAAAATCTTATTTTTTTTCCATTTACAATAATCAGCTTGATGACCTGTTAACCATCTAGTTATCCCGGAGAACAAATTAAGAGTCCCTTGGCCTAGCCTAATGACGTTAGCCTTCTCTATTATAGGCTACGTTAGCTAGCGTGTCAGTGCCAGCTACATCATGAGAGGAGCTACTAGGGTGCATCATGGTACGTTGACAAATGATAAAGCTTACATTCTGGACTTGAATAGAGACTGTATGGAGTTGACTTCTTCTATGGTTTTGTTTAAATTTTCCTCTAT